GTATTTGAGTCATGGGACCACTCTTAAGCAGAAAATCATGTGTCTGCAATCAGATTTTGTTGGACATTTTACTGTGGCCACTGAAAACTGATTTGAATCAGAGCTCTTGTTGTGTGTGTATGTTCTTTTCTCTTCCACTAAAACAAAATTTTCCTGTTCTCCTGATCCCTTTTGGCCCCTCCACCAGACCTATGGAAAGGGGAGAAAATTAGTCCTAAATAAATTGTATTGGAGATTAATAGTATTATTATTATTATATATAATGCTTATTTCACAATCAATTTCCCAAAAGATGATGCATACCACTTGCTGTTTTTCTGTCTAACCAGACTCTTCATTAATTCTTCACAAGTATCTCCCCATATTATTCAACTTTAGCTAATTATAGTGATTAGATTTTACACTAGGGATCTTAACTTTGAGACAAGTTTCACTGCTAAAAACATGATGTCATGCATTAATCGTGAGTCATGCATTAGCTTAACTCGGGGGACGTGCTTAAATTTCGGCAAATATATATTTATTAATGTGATACACACAATTTTTTCAGAAAATTTTATATGACAAATATATATATATATATATTGTACTGACAAAGCACTGCGTGAAATAAAAATTATGTGTATCACATTCATATAGAGTATAATACAATGAACAATCTATTTTCATATAAAAGTAAATATTAATGATAAGATTATGTTTTCATCATTATTTAAAATTTAACGTAAAATTTTAAAAATATAATTGCTTAAAAATTAAATGGTCAAATCAAACTAAATAACTTTCAGTGACGAACTATTAATTAGACAATAGATCACCAAGGCAAATTTGGGTGAGAGTAAGTGATATTTCATGTAGAACTTACAATTTCATATTACAGTAAAAAGCTTCATTATAAACAGAAGTTAATTCTTATCCCGATTTGTCTACTACACTTATTTATTTTGACTCAAATTTCGTCTAATGTTATGACCAACAACTTCTAACATTTCTTGAAGAGGATTTAATAACTCCCCTTTGCTTATTCTGTTGTCAATTTGGCATGCCCCTACTCAACTAAGTTATTAATCAATCAAACAACAGAATGACAACAAAGAAATAAAATAAAAATCGTGGGCCCTTTTTCGCCAAGAAAAAGCCAACCCTGTTCCCCTACAAAGAAAAAGCCGACGTATGATATGACTGTTTCTAAGATTTCTAATTTTTGTGTTCATTATATACTTCATTTTGTCATAATTGATGAATTCATAGTATAAGAATCTATAATCAAGAAAATCTAAAGGTAATCAAAGAAAGTTGAAAAAAAAAAAAAAAAAGCCTAGAAGACTTTAGTATGGTTCTAGCAACTCTAGAGTGGATTTTGGTCCATTGAAGAATTCATAGCATGAAAGGGTAATTTAATGTTTGAGAAGCATAGAAAAGGAAATATATTTTGTAGTGCTATATAAAGTATAAGGCTTATGCATTCTTATCATTTCCAGTTGATGGTGGCTCGAAGATTTTAAAAAGAAACAAACAAACAAACAGCAGAATTTGAAAGAGAAATTGACCTTACTAGATTACGTCCAAGTGTTGCTGCATAAACTTTTATGGAATTAATTTTTGTTGTTTGGCAATGTTTAATAATAAACATCATGTGAAGCTAGGTAGAATACTGACATGAAATTGATTCATATGACCAGACTAGAAAGCTTCTGATATTAGACCATGGAAAGTATACTATATATTGCGAGATGAAGTGAAGAAAAGGAGGATAAAATAAGAGAGATTTGAAGTCTAAAATTGTATTTCCATTGTGTATCTGAATGTTGATTACAATGGTATTTATGTATTTAATACCACATATTTGATCCCTAACTAATCAACAAATTTGAAGTTGATTACCGTTGTTTATAGCTATTACTTACTAAGAGCTTAGAGTATGTTTGTGTATGCACTCAATTTTAGTGGAATTGAAAATTGTTAATACTCTTTAACCTAATTTATACTCTTTTGTTCTTTTTTATAAGAAAAAAAATAAATTACTAGATAAAAAAATCAATTAAATTAGTTATATTTTTTATAAATATAAATTTTATTCTAAAAATACTCATGATATTAAATGGTGTAGTTGTTATAATCACTCATAAACATATATTTAATAATAAAAGGAATTTAATAATTAATACATTTTAAATTTATTCTATATTTCTTGTAGTTAAGATCAAGAAAATACTTATTTTAGTTTTAAGGGACGAAGGAAATATTTTGCAAAAATAAAAATCTAACCTTGATATAAAATTGAATGCGAATTCAAACAAGCTAAAAAATTGTGATAGAGCACCCTAATTGTCATTAACAAAATAACAGAGAACTTCGATCTACATGCATCATCACCTTTGTTTTCTCACAATCTGAACCATATACGATTCTTCAAATAAAAAAGCCTTACCCTATTATGGCTCAAGAGGAAAAACTAGAAAAAATAAAAATAATTAATACCTTACAAGCTAATTAACCTCGTAACCTAGCTCACAGATTACGATAGTGGAAGTAACTAACTACAATGGCTTCCCCTGATTAAAAAAAATAAAAAAATGCAATGGCTTACTGCAGAGATGCAATTATATTTCTAGCCCTTGGTAATTAATATTTAATTTGATTCTTAAAAGTGACATTTTTTTTATCATTAATCTCTTAAAGTTTTACTTTATAAAAAATGTAGTCCTTGATTATGTTAACTTACTCACATTTTACTTATTCTTTCATAAAAATGTAAGCAATGAGAGTAAAATTAACGTATTTATGAATCAAATTATACACCAACTCTTTTACGGATTAATTGGTTTCTAACAAAGATTAAAATACGAGCAAGTTAACGTATTCATAAACTAAATTATATAAAGTAAAACCTTAAGAGATAAAAAAAATAAACTGGGTTTCATTTTCAAGGATTAATTTATGCATTTACTCTAATTAATTTTAGTTGAATTGAACAGTTCAAATGAGAGTTTTAATCATTGAAAGTAATTCACAAATTATGAAACCCGTAACTAAAGATTGCCAAAGTTTTTCATTGACCCATACCTGTTTTTGCTAAACACAGCCTTTAATTTTGTTTTGAACTGCCCTGCCACAACTTGTGTTAAAAAAAAACTGCTACGAAATATTATTGACCACAAAACATTATATGGTAATTTTTACATTACATAAAACAATTATCACTCTTAATTTTATACCAATGAATAGTAAAAAAAAAATCACACTTATTAATTTAAAGAGAATATATAATATTCTCTAAAGTTTCTAAATACCTAATAAACATCAATATTAAGCATTAAACTTGCGTAGAATCACAATCTTTGTTGTTAATTAAAATTTATTAAAAATTAAAAAGATAAGAAAAAGAAACATGTAAAAAAATGTGAAACTCATAATTTTTAATAAATTTTAAATAATAATAAGAGTATATTAGAGAGTATGTTACTAACAATAACATTACTTAATAAATAAATAAAGCTTGAAGTTTGATACTTATAATTTTAAATAAAATTAAATCGCAAATATTTGTAATCATACATATTAATAATGTAACTTATTCTCCCTTATTTGAATTATATCATCAATTTGAACAACATTGTGAAATTACACTTAAAGAAAAAATTATACTAATTAATCACCAAATTTTCATTAGCATATTGATAATTTTCTGTAATGAATTTCCGATTTTGATTTAAAAGAATAAATAAGATGTCTTGGATAATCTGGCCTCTTTACGATACATCTTATCGTTCAACCCTAATATTTATTACAAACCAATTTTTATTGTATTGAGGAGTGCTTCATTGTTTTAATCCATAGTATCGCATGAAGCCAGTTCAATCTAGGAATTTTTACTTCGACGCTCTCTTGTTGCTAAGAAACATTACGGATTTCCTTTGTATTCCTCCTTTCTAGTGGATAAATAGCTTAATTAACTGTGAAAGTATATATTTACCTAGGGTTTTAAAACCAAGTTCAATTCACCAACATTTCAAACCACAACCTCTCACATCACCCTTACTTTAAAATTTTTAAATGCAAAATAGATTTTCATAATTTTAAATCTTCCAAAATTTTTATAAATTCATGTTTTTAAATTTATACTCTTTCCACCTCCTCTATGTAAAGTTGTGTTTGAAAGTTAGATTTAAGAGAAAAAAGAAAGAAAGAAAAATAATTTTTATAATAATCATTATTTGAAAGTTTTTAAATAAGAAAAATTAAATTATAGAACCTTTGAACTCTCCTCCTCCTTGTTCAATCTAGTAAAGCTCATTCTTCTCATAATTCAATTTTCACTTCCAGCTCATTCTTTTCTACACAGTTCACCATTTTCATTAATAAGGACTAAATAAAAATCAGAGTTTAAAGGAAGAATTTTATTAAGACCAAAAAAAAGGACTAAAATTCCATCTTTCAAGAATTTTTTATGTTGAAATTCAATGTCGCAAATAATTATGCATATCATATTTTAACCTTAAAAAGCCTATTTGATAGACAAAATAGGAATAGGAAAAAAAAAAACGATATGAACAACAGTAGAACTAGATAAGAATATAATAATCAAGATAAAAGTAGGATAAACCTTTATCCTATCTTACATTTGATCCACACTAAAAAGAAATAACATTATGTTATTCTATCTTATTTATTTTTAACATAAGATAAAATTTACACTAAAGTGATAGATATAATAAACTCATAAATAAAAGACTTAGAAATAAGATAAGAAAAGAAAAGTAGTTGAATTCTGTTATCTTAAGAGATAGGCCATAAAAGGTCTAAAAACAGCAAAAGAAAGTTTGGGTTAAATTAATCCCTCTTAGGAGATTGAAATAATAGCATCCCACATGACACGCACATTATACACACAAAGGAGTAACTTAGTTACGGCCCTACCACAATTAACTATGAACTTACAATGCATTCCAACAATGAAATTAACTACTTCACACATCAGAACTGGCCCTAATGATGCACTAAATTTGTGTGTATGCCTTGGTTACTGGTTTCCTACCCTTTTTTCCTCCTGAACTAGTAGCTGCAGTAACAGGAACAATTTCCTCAACAACTCTAAAAATGGTCACATCCAAAACCAAAACATTGTTCATGTGGCCAGCTGGTTCAAACACACAGACATCAAACTCTTCAAGGTTATTATCCAAGGCAAATTGTTTCCACCCACGTGTGAGTCCTCCACTATTGCGACAGTTATGGACAGTGAATTTGGCAAGCCATTCACCCATTCCCATGCGTAAAATCAGTTCTTGAGATCCTGAGGGTGTAAGTTGTGCCATCCACTTAAGTTGGAGTGACTACTCACCAAAACAATGTATAATGATTAATCACAATCAATGAAACTAATACACTAGTGCAGCAAGTTTGAAACTTCATAACAATTATTTCAGCAAAATATAAATATTTAAATTGAGACCAAGTTTCAAATTTGAAGATTGTAAGGCAATTATTTACCAAGTAGAATCTCTTGTACACATGCGTCGGTCGCATTACTATGAGCAAACTATTGTTGGTACATGCTGCCTGGGCCAACTGGAGGGTATTTTTAATCTCATTTTCTGTGACAGGCCTTCTATTTGAGGTAAATATTTCAGATTTCCCACTTGAACCCACAGAAACTGGTTCAGATTCTATTAATACAAACAAAATAAGGTGCTGTATCAACAAACAGTCAAAATATTGATTCAAACAAAAACAAAGTTATTTGCAAGGAATTTGATGCTCAAGAAGGAAGAGTGGATGTTTTTAATTTATCTTTGTAATTAATTTTGCTAACTAGGAAGCCTTGCAGGTTTGGAAATAATTATTCGAGAAAATAACAACTTTCTTCTAAAAACCTCTTTAAATAAGGGGCAAAAATAAATGACTATTTTCAGAAATAGTCTGAATCAAACATGCCAACAACATTGAAACATGGAAAACACACACAATAAAGACTATACAGACAATATCAGCCAACTATTACCAAATCAATTGTTTGGTATCTTTTGTAGTGTTCCGTGCACAAAACATGTCTCAACTAACTTTGAGTCATTATTTGCATCACTTTATCTCCTCTAATTAAAGTGAGAAAGTAAGGGTGTATCCATTCTTTATTTGAATTAAAAGCATCTAATAAAATTGATCCACTTAAAACCAAAGGTGGATGCACGAATACTTTACCACAAATGCACCACTCAACTCCCACTATTTCCTATCACAATTATTCTGCATATTTGGAGTTGGAAACCTTTGCAATTGTTGTGGTTTTTCAAAATTAAAGAAGCTGTCGGTGAATAAAAATTTTCACTCCCGTTTAAGATAAAACTATGTCCATGAGAAACAGAAGTAAAGATATTTTCTTTCCCTTTTTGACAAGTCAAAAGTTACCAGCCAACAAGTTAAGTGTTCTCTCATGAGAACTAGAAGTTTTTGGTGGTCTTCCTCTCCGCTTAGTCTGAATGCGCTTGACAGCAGAAACATGGTTCCTGATCCTTTTATTGGTAGGTTTGGGGGGAACAGATTCTGACTTGGTGACTCCATTAGCCATAAACTGCTCGTGGCAAGCAGATTCAACACCAGCATTTAAAATCTTCTCACTAGGACTTTGAGAAGGCACAACTACCGGCTCCTCTGTACCGTTGATATGCATAGATTTGTCAGGTGAAGCACATTCAACATCAGCATTTGAAGGGGTATTAACTTCCTCCTGAGAATTATCACTGTGCCTTCTGTTTTCAAGACATCCACCCCCTTGTTCAGTTACTTCAGTGTGCCCACATTTTCGAACAAAATAAGAACCTGCCTTCTCACAGAAGCTCCCCCCATCAAATATTAAAACTTCAAACTGAGATTCACCATTGTACTTAAAGACCAGGAAATCATTCTCTTTCAAAGCATGATCTTTCACAAATTGTTGCCAACCATGCGTGAAGTACAAGGTATCATCTCTAGTTGTCAGTCCTACATTCCACACAACGCCACCAGGACCTTTAAGGAACACATTTTCTGGCAGTTTCTTCTTTAAATTATCTGAAAATGCTTTTGGAAGTGCCTGCAAACAAATTAGACATTCATCGTTAAGATAAAATGGGCAGCAGAAACATGCTGATAGAAGTAGAACACATATCTAAGACTAACCAACCATCTTCGGTATAACAAGTAAATAGTGATTGCAAAACAAGAAACAGAACAATAAGCCAAAAACAACCACATTACAATCTTCTTACTCATTCACTCCGTTTTCCTTCCCTTTTGGTCCCATGTCCAATCCTTAAAAGAAATATATAGAAAAATAGCCACGCATTCACAATCATGATCACATCAGGGTGCATGCATGAGCAGGACCTACAATGTAAATGCATGTTTACTCTATTGCAATGCAAGCTCAAAAAATTGGCCCAATGAACACCAGCCCTCCTCCAGCATAAAAACGTGTCTCAAAAACACAACACAAAACAGAAGCATTCAGGTCACAAATCCTAAGTCATTATTTAGAAAAGGTACATCTATAACCATTTAATATAATAATTGGGGGGGGAGGGGGGCGAAAGCACACGAATTACAGCAGCTGATAAAAAATAAAGCTCAAAACTTTTTATAAAAAAAAATGATACATGTTAAGGAAATGTAAAAATTGTGGACATCAAACGGAGTGCATGCACTCAACCCTCAAAGTTTATATACCATTACAAGAGGTTTTATTTCATGATTCACAAAAGATAAGGATTGAGAAGATGAAAGAGAAAGAACTAACAAGGCCTTGATCATATCCAGCACGGAGAAATTGCACAAAATGGAGGAACTGAAAATGGGTCCAGTAAATATCATCCACCCACGATCTGCAACCATTGCAATTCGAACTACCCATTTGGATTAAAACAACAAAATCAATCAGATTTCAAAAAAGGTGCAAACTTTACTAGTTCAGAAGAAGCTGAAGCACTGTGGGGCACAAAGCACATGCTTGAACCCAGAATGCAGGAACAAAAGACATAACCCAAACACTAACTATAGAAGCTATTATTATGATCTAACCAAACGAAGAGTTAAAATTGAGAGCGGTGTTACTGTTTTCAAGGGTTTGCACCAAATTCAATAACGAGAGTTAAAGGCCACCGCGGTACTCAATTTATTTGTGTTAAAACGCCACTGCTGCATTTGCTGTTGTTACCACCATTTTACTTGGGTTCATGTATTTAAAATAAGTACATAAAAGAATTTAAAATATTATTTATATACATTTATAATATTTTTTAATGTATTCTTTTAAAAAAATCATTTTATGATTCCGTGATTAATGTGTTTAGTACAACTCCTTAAAGTATTAAAGTATATTGTATAGATATATTTTAATTTAATTGAAATTTAGAAAGTATATATTAAAAATATTGCAAATATAAAAAATTATATATATAATAATTGATTTGGATAAATAAATTACATGTGGCTTATGTTTTAGGAACCAAATAAATTTGAAAAATAAAAGAGTTAATTTAAGAATATAAGGAATGAAATTTTGGAAAGAAGAAAAATAATATGTATATATTTAAAGACAAATTAAAGAAGAATTTTGAAGAGAAAAATATTTAACATAAAATAAAATTTAGAAAAAATAATTTTAAAAAAATTAAAAGGATATTAAATAACTAAAAAATAATTATCTCATAACACAACTAAAAGTTGTGATATAAGTATTGAATAAATAAATTTATAAATATTGAGGGGGGAAAACAAGGATTTTATGTTTAACGGTAGGGATTTAAGTCTTTGACAAAGGAAATCCAAATCCTTTCAGTTTACATGGAAACTTGACTTCAAGTTCTATTTTCAGTTAAGAAAAATTTCGGTTAAGAGAGTCATATGCCCTTCAGTGAAAATGTTAAATATAATTTATTTTTGTTAATTGTGATATACGAGGTTGTGTATAAAAGACACTTAGCAATGAAACGAGGAAGCACCACTAACAAGTCACAGTGATAGATGATAACTCAGTGAGGAAGCTATACAGACATGCAGTGTAATGAGTATGATTTGATCCCTTCATCTGCATGGCTGCATCCTCAAAATCTCAAATGGATATTTTCAAGTAAACACTGACAATGACGACATATCAAGCTTACAACAAACTAACTTCTTAAGATAAGCTTAAAGGATTGAACAAGAACCACACAAAAGCCAGCAAATTAATACAATAAGTTCAATATTAAGGATCATAGCTAGAAACCCTGTTAGAGAGTGGAAGGAAACAAATTGCATATGCTATTTCCTAACTCGTATCACTATGTCTTAGTATTTATTGTCAATCTTTGCTCACCCATATACCTGTTGCATCTTCCTCGATCCATAACCCACATACTGAGAAATCCTCCAAGTACTCAAAAAAATCACAACAGTTAAAGTTGCATTCAGAATCAACAGGTGGGGTATCTCTGAAAAACTCATTCCATCAAGTCAAAGGTAACAATAACATTCTCCAACACGTCATAACTAAAAGCGAAGCAATGGTGTTGAAGAAGAAGAAGAGTGTCATTGTAGATGATGATTCCCTATCTATGAATCCCAACGTCTTCAAAATTTTGGATGATTTTACCCTCCAGAAGAAAATGTTATGCAGTGTTTTGTCAAATTTCGCTTGAACGAAAATTTCACTTTTTTTTTTTTTTTGCTTGAAGGAACATAATTTCTATTAGTAGATATAGATACCAACAAAATGGTACTTTAGATTCAAGTTTTTATTAGTAGAGGTGCATACGATGAAAGCAATTAAAAAAACAATAAAAAGAAAAAGAAAAAATTTTAACGGCAAACAACGGAAATAACTAATTTGATATCATAATTAGGCAAAATTATTTTGAAAATTTTGATATAAAAAGGGAACAACAAAGAAAGCTATTGGGTCGTTTTTTATTTTACTTTCACTTTATTTGTAAAATAAAATATTTTAATTTTACTTTTTTTGTTGGGTATATATTTTAATTTTAAATGTATGAATTTTTGGAGACACAAACCAACTCCAAATAAAATCAAATAATTGAAATTCCATGTTGAGGATTAAGAACAGTCAATGGATTATATGCAAATTTAAGGAGAAATTTTCCATTAAGGATGGTAACCAACTCAATAAATCAGAATTATTTATAAGTAGAATCCCGTATAAAAATCTTTCAAAATTTGTTATTGTTTTTACAAATACCAATAGTAATAAGACGAGACTACAGAATATAATTTGCAATACTCATAATACCGTCTAAGTAAGAGTACCTCTACCAACAAAATAAAGGGAATTAATTTTAAAAGAAGTCAATTTTTTCCTAAATGAGATTCTCTTTAAATACTTTAAATTATGTTTTGTTCATTTTTTATTATAAAATTATTTTTATTCCAATTTTGGAGTCTAAACATTAAATAATTTATTACCTAAGTTTTCTTATAAAGTTATTGATAAAACTTATATTTTACACTTTTCAATTTTTTAATAAGATTTACATCAAATAAAAAACTTAATTGTACTTTTAGTGCTTATAATTTAATATATGTGAAATTTTAATTTATTTAGTTTAAATTATTTATATTTAGTCCTTTTAATTTTCAAATGCTCAAATTAAATTTTCTACCCTAAAAATTTATTTAAATATTAATAAAAAAGTAATGGAAGAATGATATTTTATTAAATTATACAAATAAATAAAGTAAAAATATACAAAATATTTAAATAAAAATAATATATATATATAATAAAATTATTAACTTTGAGGTGGAAGAATTAATTAGCATTTAAAAAATTAAATGTAGGCAACTAAAACTAGCAAGATCAAAATTGCACATGTTATAATATTTAAAATTTTAAAAATTAAACTAATTTTAATGATTTTTAATGATATGTGTAATTTAGTTAAAAATGATTTATATAAAAAGACAATAAAAAGAAAAATTTATGTACATGACATTTTTATTAAAAGTGATAAGATATTTAATATTTAATATATATTAATGGTATAAAATATTACTATTTTAGTAAAAAATTTATTATTTTTATTTATTAATATGTATCCTTGAACATACATAAAAAATTATTAAAAGATAATTTAATTTTTTTAAATACAGTTTGTTAATTAAAAATGAATATATTGAATTTTAATATTAATTTTCATTAATTAAGGAAAAATTAGAGATCTTGGTTGGATACGGTCTTGGAATTGAAATGACAAGAGTGGGTGGAATTGGGGAATTGAATCTGAAGACTGAAACCGAAGCGACGAGTGCTTATGAGTTATGAGCAGTCATGAAAAGAAGCGCATTTTAGCATTGGCTCTTTGCCTGTGTTGATTCCACAAACAATCATACTTACCAAGAATTCAAGAGCGCATGGGGAATGACTTAACCAGAGTTATTAAATGGAACTAAAACGGAACAATGTTTTATTCATAAAAATATTTATTATATTAAAAATAAAAAATACATTTTTTATATATTTAAAATTAAATTAAAATTAATCAAATTACACTTTAATTTCTAAAATTAACATAGCAGATAATCAAAGTTAAAATTTCATTTTAATAATCTGTAATAATCTTAGGTACATATTTTTTATTAAAGTTAAATTTTGATTTTAATAAATATCTAAAGAGTTATACTTATATTTTGTTTGTAATATAATGTTGTAATGTCATGACCGCAAATTTCCTCCAATTTCAAGAGATGAAAATTGGTATTTAATTGAGAAATTTTAATGTCCTTTATGCTTATGGGCTAAAATCTATCACTATTTCTGTCTTATTTATACAAATAAATATTTTAAAAAATATTACCAATACTTTTTTTTCTTAATCAAAAGGAATGAAATTTTTTAAAATATATTTATTATTATTATTTTTTATCAATATTTATTATGAAATTTGTGTTAACAAAATATTCACTGTTTATTTATATAAATAATCAAAGAAAGTTCAGAACATATTCTTTTTATCATGTTTTAATTATTAGTTAAAATTTATTGATGAGAAAAAATTATTAAGTTAAAAGTGAAAAATAATGACACTTATTTGACTTTTATAATTTTCAATAAATTTTAATTAATAACTAAAAGTATATTTTTAAAAAAATATTAATTAGTGTGTTGCTGGTATTTTTTTTATAAACAAATAGATTAGTATAAATTTAATAAGGATATAAAAATAATTGCAAGCCATAATTTGGCATGGTTTAAATTATTGGGCTATGATTACCTTCCATGCTGTTGTTATTTCATAAAAACATAATAGACTTACCATGATTTAGATTAATCATGCATGCTTTTAGAGACTTACCATTAAAATTCCTCCTTTCATTCTAGCAAAAAATAAAATAAAATTCCTCCTTTCATTCCTTTCTTTGAATCAATCAACGTGTAAGAGTGACATAGCACTCAGACAAGTTTCTCTCGTAGTATTTGCCAAATAACTCATTAAAAATTATTTTATCTACAATATTTGAATTAAGAGTATAATAATAATTTTATATTCTCTCCCTTCTCATTTTATACCAAAGAAAGGGAAGAAGAAAAACTAAAAGTATGTTTGTTTTATTTTTAAAAAGAGTTTTCTCTTTTTAAGATAAAAAATTATATACATTTTTTATTTTTAAAAAGAGAAAATTCTTTTTAAAAATAGAAACAAACATTCTCTAAAACTCCCCCTTTCTTTTAAATAAAAAACGGAAATTTTAATTTTTCTCCCCTCCCTTCCATTGAAAAAACATACTGTACAACTCAGTCCCCTTTACAAGATTTAAGAAACTGGCAAGTATCATAGTACAGAGCAAAGACACCTATCAGTTTCTGGAACAATCCTTCGGGTAAAAGAAACTGGTCAAACTCCTGGCGAGGGAGAGCTTACTTCTCAAATCTCAAGCTCATTACTCAGTTATTTACAGAAGATACAAACATATATCCAAAGAATATTATCAGTTGTGAATAATGATGGCATTCAGGAGTTTAACCTTTGTTACAATAACATGGCAACAATTAGACTCGAATCATGATCCCAACCTTGTTTGATAGTGATAAACAATCACAATATGTTAAAAGTGATGGCGTATTAAGCATACGCAATATATTCTAAAATCTTGGTCGGTGAATAGATTGGGATGTGAATTGTGAGATGTTACACATACACATATACCAAGAGAGTATGGAATTACAGACATATGTACATAAAATGCAAAAGATCTTTTGCAATTCTCACCATAAAACATCTTCATCGAAGCCCAATTCTCATGAACAAGATTGTTAGCAGGTAGATGGAACGGTAGCTAATCTATTAAGTTTCACATGCCCATTTTGATGGTCAAGCCCCTCCTTTCCAACCCCAGATATGTAAACCTGCATCTCACACTGACCAACGAGTTCAAAAATACACGTGTCTCCAAAATTGATGTCATTATCACGAACAAAGGCCATCCATCCCCCACAAAAGGTGTGAACTGTTCTGCCTTTAGCATCTGGGACAGAATTCACAGTCCAACATTCACCTCTTGAATTTCGAAGCACAACTTCTGTTTTGTAGGCTGGGAGATGAGCAGCGGAGAATTGGTATGGGATTTTCTACAATGTAACAGGCAAGAAATAATTTAGCATTGATATTAAATACATACTCATAAATAAAATGTTAATGTGGACACTAAATGGTTGTGTATTACTCACCAAAGTGTATGATCCACTGACATTGAACTTTTTCATGATTTTCACGAAATTAGGAAAAGGGGAAGTAAAGGCTTGAGCTACTCTTTGTTCATCAAGTGCGAACAACATTCTCAAACCAGCTTTAGCCTGTGAGCTTAGCTCATCTTCAACCCGATGTCTCCTCTGAACAGCTGTTTTTGTTTACAGTTCAAAATGTGAATAAAGTCATAATTAGGAAGGAAGAAACTTAAATAGAAGGAAAGCATTCAACGGTTGTCCTTTTTTAATTCTTTCACTAGCGAAGTAAAATAATTTCAATTATCAAAGAATTTGGTTGTATTCTCCTTTTTCTGAAAACAAAAGTATGTCATAGAAAATTGTTGCAGATACATAAGATTTACATTGAATTAGAATTTGAGTGGGTCACATATTGGGCAAGTAAAGAAAAAACCTTACCCAACTTTTTATGGGCAGCTTTTGGCTGATGGCAAAGCCCCATCTTGTTAGAAGTATTTGAAGCTCTACCTGACTTCTTTAAGTCAACAGATAAAACAGTTTCTTGACCAATCTTTGACCACTTCTTATCTGATAGATCGACTTTTCTTATGCATTTGGAGCTGGCTTTAGGATTCATTGGCATGTATCTGGAAGTCTTATGGCAAGTGACAGCATGTCCAGCACTTGGCCTACTAATAGCTACTTTTTCAAGCTGGCTGTCTAGCCCATCCTTTCCAACCCCAGCAATGCAAACACGCAATTCACACTCGTGCACAAGTTCAAAAATGCAGATATCACCAACCTTTATGTTATTACCACGAACAAAAGCCATCCATCCTCCACAAAGTGTATGGCTTGTATGCACTCGAGTTGTTGGCACAGAATTAACAGTCCAATGTTCTCCTTTCAAATTATGAAGAATAATCTTTATCTTACAATTTGGAAGATGTGCCATTGAAAATTGATATGGGATATTCTGCATTATATCATTTGTAAAGTAGTATCAGCAAGAGTTCTCTCTCTCCATACACATGCACACAGTAAGTAAGAAGAAAACTTCAAATATTAAACAAATTGACCAATAAACTTATAATAGGAAATATTCAAGGAAAAGCAAAGGCAAGTATCATTACAATTTACATTGATAACAAAAAGAAAAAAATCATAAACACCTTTCAGACAAGCACATTATAGTAACACAATTGCTCAGAAGTCAATTTCTAAATGTCACAGCAGAAGAAAAGGTCTTAAATTTAGTCTGATATAGATTTGCTTAAGTACATTACTTGAGATGTTTGTCTATCAGCATTTTCATTTAACATAGGAACATCACTCCAAGATGCATTCAAGTGCAAGGACAAAAATAGTTCAAATTTACCAAGGTGTTCATTCACTAATTATGACTTGTACGGATGAAATTTTCATTGAGATAATCTTTTATTGAAAATGTATATATCTGAAGTACTTTACATCCTCCATACATGAAGGAAGATATACTATCAAGGTAAAAAGATTACGTCTCAATTATTTTAAACACTAAACAACTGACTTAATCATAAGGACAGAGATATAAACAACATTATTTGGAAATTAAAATAAGGACCACTAAAGGGAACAACCCACCAGAGTATATGAACCACTGACGTTGAAGCTTTTCATGATTCTAACAAAATACGGAAAAGAGGAAGTAAATGACTGAGCTACTTTTTTCTCATCATGTGCTGATAAGTTTGCTAATGAAATTCCACTGAGCATATAATGGTCATCTTCCCTCCGACTTCTATACAGGATGGATGCCTCTGCATTGAATGAAACAATTCAAGCAAGCAAGAGTTTCAGATTTTGTTAATATACTGCATTCTGGACAGCATTTTCACATATAAAACCTCAAGGTTTCAGCATTTAAGTGTAAGCTGTGGCATAAATATACAGATAAGAATGAAAAATACACTTCTCAAGACAGGTACCAGTTTACAATGCAAGTTTGGATCTATTTTAATATATCTTTTTCATGAGAACCAGAATTTGATCAAATTAGTTGTACCTTCATCTTCGTTGCTGCTTTCCATGTGAAAAGGCGCAGGGACATCATTAGCTGAACATTCTTTGGAGGTTTCATTAGCAATAATTGGTCTTACTACCTCATACTGGGATAGTTCTCTACCAATAATACCCAGCTCAACTTCCTGGTTCTCAACAGTGCTACCTCTCATTTTCTTTGGAACACCTTCAACAACATCAAAAGAATTCTGCTTCGTATCCCTTTTCTGCCCTCTAACATTATCAAAGTCACATGAATTTTGACTGCATTCAGAATGAAATGCTACTTCTTTTTCACATGCATCCTTATTGAATACTTGCACAGTGAAATGCAAGTGACCCTCATATCTGAAAACCAAAAGGTCACCACATTCTAGACGATGATCCATGACAAATATTGGCCATCCTTGATCAAATATCAGATCATTATCTTGCTTAATTAATTGAACAGTCCATGTGTTTCCACTAGGACCAGTTAAGGAAACTAATCCATACGTTCTGCCTTCCATATGACAGACGAATCCATCGGGAATTTTCTGCATCAAAACAATGCACTTGTAAATAGAAAAATTCCACGTCTCCACAAAGCATTTTATGGTAAGATAAACTTACACCATTCATCTCCGACACCCTCTTATATAGATATAACAGCACTAGCAACAGAATAGGATAATCTGAAACAGTAAACTAGATCACTGTTTCCGTTATCCTTCACATTTTTTCAAGGGAATGACAAAGCATGACTTTCTGAGAAAGTTTAGAACTTTTAATTTCCCAAAATTTTTCATTTGAGAGGAGTAAAAGAAAAGTATATTTTTTTCTGATTAAAAACATACTTCAGCTTGTTATTGTCACATACAGCTGCAATAGTTATAATGCATTGTACCTTAACAAAGAAACAGGCACCCTAACTTGAAAAAAAACTTAAATGGTAGCAACAGGTAAGTTTTATATTGAATTTTGTTCGCTTACAAATATTATTAGAATTAGGGAAGTTAGAATTTGAAGTTTGGGAACATGCAATTAGGTCTATATACTACATGAACAAGAGAGAGAAGAAGTTGAGGAGTTACCAGTCTCTGAGAGCTAAAAGCAGAGGAATAAACCTCATAGAAATGAGGCCTTCTCACATTTAACTTTCCCTCACAGTCACAACCCATCAACCAAACCCTCTCTTTCCTTTCTTCTCTTTTTTATTCCCCCCGTTCGGATTGGAACAACGAATTTAAAGTAATGTGTTGGTACTTCTCAACGTGAACAATCCCACGGCATCTGAATTAGGTTTTTTGAAAAATCACTACATCTTGATCATCGCTAATTGCACATCTGGAATGTGAACAATTTTAGGGAAACTGGATAATAATAATAATAATAATAATAATAATAAAGAGAGAGGGTCGAGAAACGGGGAAACGAAGAAGAAGATGAAGAATCAGACCATTGTTTTCAGTAGTTTCGTTGGCATCAGCACTGTAGAGTGGTTCGGCCAAATCCGTGGAGCCACCTTGCTGTGGTATTCGCAATGCTCATTTCCTTTTCATTTTCATTCAATGCTGCTGCATCAAATTTACCATTCTACACTGTAATGCAGGCGCGTGTTCTTTACGCTCCTAAAATAATACTATATCACTTATTTTATTTTATTTGTAGAGAAATGTTATCAATTCGTTCTCTAACGTCCTACTAAAATAGCACTATATCACTTGTTTCATAATTCGTTCTTTAACGTACTTATTTTAATGTATATTTTTTATTATTAGTTAAATTTTATAAAAAATATTAATAATATACTTTTTAATATATTTTTATTTATTAATTAAATTTTATTAAAAGCTATAAGATTGTGTATATCTTATTCTTAAATTAATGTCTTTTTGTTATATTTTGTAATTCTTAACTAATTTTAATAAATAATTAAAATATATTATAAAAAAGTTTTTTATCATATTATATATAAAAATACGGGAGATAAATATTAATTTTGTAATAAAAATAAAAAATATATAATAATTTAACTTTTAATAAATTTTAATCAATAATTAAATATATTAAAAAAAAAGATAATATAGAATGTGTTATTAGGTTCGTCTAATTTTAATTTCCTCCTTCGGTCACCACAGTCACTTGGTTTCTCTGCTTGGCGTCGCCAGCTTGTGTAATACTTCTACTCTACTCGGTCTCATCCATCCTGTGTAATTTCAAAACTTTATAATTATATAATTAAAAAAAATCAGAACAATGCAAGTAATATATTTTTTATTATTAATTAAAATTTTATTATAACTTTAAAAGTATGAAAAAAATTAATTAATAAATAAAATTGACATATTTTTTATATTTTTTTAATAAATGTTAATTAATGATAAAATAATAAAATGCATGTTATTGGCTTTACTTTTAAAAAACGTCTTTTATATATATATATATATATATATATATATATATATATATATATATAAAAGAAAGACTTGTAGTATGCTGAGGACAGAGATAGGAAAAAAAAGTTGTAATATATGATATAATTTTATTAATTTTAACTCTTAAGATAAAGACTAAGCTCCTAAAAATAATATATTTATTATATTTATATTATAAAAATATAATAAATATTTTTAATAAAAAATTATTTTTAAATACTTAAATTTAAATATAATAATTAAGATAATATTTTTTAATATTATAAAAATTAAATTTGTGAAGTTACAATTTATATTTAGTCAAATCATTATACTAACTTGATAAACAAATCGTTCTTTTTTTAGAATTAAAAATTACTACAGATATATTTATTTCTTTGAAATTCTTTATAAGAAATCACTTTTATCTTTTATATTTGGAGTTCAAAATATATTTCTCAAAATATTTTTATTTTTTTTAATTTTTTTCATTGTGTATTCTTTTTTTCAGTTACATAGGAAATTTAAAAAAATAATTAATAACTAACATCTAAAGGCTGGACAAACAAAAGATATTGGGTTATTCCAAATTTTTTGTGAAAGATTCTCTTGAGAATCAATACGGACCATGTTATCGGTTACACCATTTTGACTCATTTAGAATAAGTCTAATCTCCATTTTCCGTTCTTAGGAGAGTAGGAGTGCTTAATGATTTTACACTCCTCCAAAACTAGCATCATCGTTGCAATAAAGTTGGTTGAATATTGACTCAGATTTGGTATTAGATTTTTTTCAAGTAAAAGTATTTATATAATAATAAGTTTGGGTTGGACTTAATAAAAGCAATAGAGCACCGCAGATAGCTAAGTATATCACACCAGAATTTATTAGTTATCTAGTCTGCTCCTTAAATTATTGAGTACAGACCTTAGATTGAAAACCCTAAAAGTATTATTCTTTTTTTTTCTCATTGTTGCACTACTACGTGCTACTAAAGTGCTTTGTTAGAGTTTTTAATTTTCTTCATCTTCATCATCAAGGTTAGCTTTTAATCACACTTTTGAATCATCCCTTTCTCTTTTTTTTTTTTTCTCTATATTCACTTGTGATAGAAATTTTTGTTTTCCTCAAACCTTGAATGATCCTCATCTCTCTCGATTTTATGCTCAATTCTATTTTTGGTATTTTCTGTTCTTGTATATACAATCTCCACTCTAATTGAAGTAAACTTTGTATAATCTTTGGTATGTGCTACTGTGTCTAGCTTTGTTGATTATTTTTTAGCTTTTTTTAAAACATTGCAAATCAATATAAGCACTATTATCTTTATATGTTTTATTTCATGGATGATGGAAGAGCTTTGAAAGGGTGAGGTGAGGATTGAGAAAGTTTCAAAGGTTAAAGTTTTTTTTCTTATTTTTTTAATATACTTTTTTTTGTTAGAATATCTTACTAGAGTGTATCATTACTTTTTGAATAATTGAATATGTTAATTTTTATTAATATTATTTTTTACTTTTATTAAATAATTAAACTTTTTTATTTAATTTATGACTGGACATTTGAATATGAATTATTGTAAAAGAAATGGAAGGACTATAATATTATAAGACAAATTATTGATCTATTAATAAAATATTTTGACTTATTATTAATTTTTTATTTCTTTTTTTATTGTTTAGATGTTGGTTTAACATTATCTTGAATCTTTATTTTCTTATTAGTGATTTGCATTTATCTTTGTGTTTTATTATTGTTAGATCTTTTTATTCTGATTTACTTTTCACCTCAAGCAAATGATACTTATATTTATAAAACTCTAATTTACATATCCTTTCTAAAATTTTGTAACACTGCATCATTAAAAGAAGAGTACAAGAAACATATAACAATTCATCATGGATGTATTTTCATTTTGTTTATGACTTTTTTTAGACTTCCAAGTACCTTACTGATTGCATCATTTGCATAACAAACTTTTAGTTAAAAATTAGAATATACATTTAAATTTCTAATAGTATTAGTCATAAACTATAATAATTCTTTTTTGTTCTATTATTTTAAAATTTTTTATGATTATGCAGTCACAATTTTGGTTTAGCAAGTTTTAATTGTACTTATGACAATCATCACACGAATTAAAGTTGTCACTAAAAATGTGTTCTCCTTATGGTTGCTCTAATTGTAAAAAACATAGAAAATGTTTGCTTGAAAACATATGTCATGGTATAATTAGATGCTTTGTTGTGGTTTTGTTTGCTGAGTATGAAAGTTGGGTAGGTATAGTCTCAACGTATAATTTGTTTCTTATTCCTAGGTGAACTAAACAAATACTGTGAGCATAATTAAATTTCATCACATACAAGCTTATGACACTTAAATGGTGTTAATATTATGAATTTACTTGTAAGTGTTATAAAAAATGGAAAGTATTAGAAAAAATATTAAATTAAAAATTTCATAAATATAGGAAATAGTATACTTAAATTCTACAGTTTTGTGAAAGAATATGTATGAAGTTAAGTTTTTTTATATGTTGTAATTTAACTTCTAAATCTTTACTTGACTATGTTATAAATCTATTCAAGTATAGGACTTTTATTTCACCATTACCTTGTTACTTCATCTAGCTTTTGTAAAGGAAAAAAATGTAAATGAAAATATAAAAGAAGAAATTCTTTAGTGGATTTAAATTAATAAGTAATAGGTGTTGTGTCTAGTACAGGTATTATGCAAAATTTGAAAAGTCAGTACATCGAGAAAAGTAGTAATATTCGTGTGGCATTTGTTGCTTAATACAATTTCAATATAGAGGAATTTAATCAAACGCGGCTTAACGATTTTTTATAAGCTTGTGGGTTTTGTGATACCAAAAATGAGGAGATATTGCATCTTTGTTTGTATGTGTGTAATTATGTGGTTTGCAGTAGTATGGACAATTTGACTTTAGAAGAATAATATTATTTTCGATAATAGTGTACAAAATGTTAGTGAAATATTTGATTTCATTAAGTATCATTCTTGAAAGTGGCTCGTGGCAGGACCTTCTGATGCTCAATTATGTATGTAAATTGGATTAGTGATCTTTTGACATATATTGTTAATTCTATTTAGATATATAATGGGTTACAGTATCTCTTGTACTTAGATTTTATCTTTAATAAAATATTGATGCTTAACAAAAAAAAAAGTAATAGATGATGATTCATGTTTAAAAGGAAACCCAAGGGAGTACGATGTAGAAGAACTAAGAAAGAAATACATATTATAGTATTGACATTGGATGTATATTTACAAGCTTTTCTTCATGTTTTTAAATATACAAATCGTCTACATACTTGTTCATGTTTTTAAATACACAAATTGCCTATATACTTGTTCATATATTTTTTTAATATATTATTGTTAGAAGTAATTTTTAAAAATTAAAATATATGTCATTTCAAGTTGAAAGATACATAATTCCTAAAACAAATATTTTTGACTTGAAGGTGAATAAAAAAGAAGAAGAATTGAACAAGGCTAAAAGAGTGAAGCAAGGTAACAAATAAAGATTTTATAATATTTACATTATTTCTAATTATGCATTTAATTTTCATAATTATAATTTGATTCTACTAAACTTATTTTGCTTCATAGTTTTGGCTATGTATACATTTGAAGAATATTATAAGTTATATTTTAATGCATGTTATTTTATCATTTGTTTTGACATAATGTGAAAACAGTAATATTATTGCTTCATTTGTAATATTATCTTTTAATAAGCTTTTTTTCTCTCCATTTTAGTTGCTTTTATATGTAATAATTATTGTTACATCTAATACAAGAATGACTTTTATAATTTAGATTTATATTAGTTAATGTGTTAATCATTCATAAGTTAAATTAATTTATTGATTCTTATAGCTTATTTTTAAATTTTTAATTAAGTTTTCATAGTTTAAATTTTTTAATTAAAATTTTAATAATTAACATCATAATATCTTTATAAAATAATGATAACCTAATTAAAAACATATTAATTTAACTTTACTTATATAATTAAACTGTAAAGTAATATCTAAATTTGTTTTAAAATATATCTACATAACACTAAGTATTAATTTTATTAAATTTAGATACAATTGGTAGAGATTAACTAACAATGACCTATTTATTAAAGCAGCAATGGAGTAGTCAAGTTACAACTTGCCTACTATCCAAACACCAATTGCACCTACAACATGTCAAATTGAAAGAGTTGCAAATCCTACCAACGACAGCAAAATGTGGTGGTGAAAGT